TGCACTTATTTTAAGAAAAATTTACTAATCTAGATTTCGATTTTTCTAGTGTTTATATCACTGCTTTCATAAAAAAATAAAAACATTAGAGTAAACAATTCGAAGCTAAGAGTCCTTCATACAGAAGAGGTCACACTGCAATCAAAATATATCATTTAAAGCCACAGGAACCCTGCTATTGGGTTCAGGTGTGTTTGCAGATGGACAGGCACTCCGGCCATGTGCCTCCGGACTTTAGAAGTTATGTGAAGTACCAGAGGAATGCAGAGGCCCGTGTGCAGGGCCCACACAGGTAGAGACAGACCTTAGAAACACTGAGTATTGCACCTTATAGCGACACTAACATCTGGTTCTACATCAGCCCCGCCTCCGACTGAATTAGGTCCATTTTTATTTACCTTGTTAAGATCTGAGTAAGAGATGCAATGAGATTCCAGCTGCTAAAGAGAAAATAACCATTTTGGTTTCTTAACTTTAACCAGATACGATTAAACCAGAATCGATGTGATGTTTAGCAGCAAAGTCAGAGAAGCTCAAAAAATTAAAAGCACTTTTAAAGGAAACTACTTTTAACAAAGGAACATAAGCCGTTTGTTCAGGCTGTTTTAACGGAGCTTAAATCTGGCTTGCCTTACCTTCCAGATTTCATAGTTTTGCAATGTTAGTCCATTGCTAACTGCACTGCTTATGCAACAGAAGATGCAAAACGTTTCCTATAATTGCATCTTTTTGCAAACCTTTAAAACCGTTTTATAGTGAAAGAGGTCCTTATATATACCAACCATTAGTAACAGCTCAGGACAGAAAGGTTCAAAAGAAGCCTTTTAAATGCTTTCAATCATAGTTCTTACAGAGAGGTTAGTATTCGTCTATTTCTTGTCTCTGAGGCAGAGAATTCACTTCGGTGTGAACGCACTATTGCACCCAGCAAGGCAAGAGATGCACCAAACATGCTTGACCAACAGCTGAATGTTGCAGAATTGCTACACTTGACATCGTGGTTATAACAGCAGCTATGTCTGCAAAAACCAGCTGAGAAAAACCAACAGAGAAGCCGCCACAAACACCACAGACTAAGAGCTGTAGAAAGCTTTACAATCAAATTAGCCAGGCAGATTTTTATACCTTATTTTCATTGTTTATTTTAGAGACTGACATTTTTTCGGGAATCCCACGGGTTACGGGATTCCTGTGGGATTCCCGTGGGACGGGAGTCAGTATTAGTAACGATCAGGTGATTGGGACGGTACAGGATTAAACACTAACGGGAGCAGACGGGAGCGGGAGCAAACCAATAGTAACTAAAAAAAACTAGGATCGACGCCAAAAAATAAAAGAAAAGAAAAAAAATCCAGTACTGGCGACGCAATTTTGTAGTTTTTTTCCACTACAATGCGAGTCAAAAAAAACTACACGACCCAAAAACCAACAGTGCTTCCGCTCTGAGTTTTTCACTCCTGGGACAGGAGTGAAAATCCACTCCCGTGTCAGTCTCTAGTTTATTTGTATATATCTTTTGAAAAATAATTATGGAAAAAAAGAAATAAAACGTTACTTTAGAGCAGGGTTTTACATTTAAAGATGCTTGGTTCTGATTGGCTCATTTAAAAATGTTTGTGCAGGGGTTTTTCATCTTAACTTGGAAGATGAGATGAGAATGAATCACTTGCAAAGAGCCTTTTATTATTTATATCATCATATCATGGAAAATATATCTAGGGCTGAAACAATTAATCGGATTTATCCATTACTGAAATAATTGTCAGCTAATTTAGTAATTGATTAATCGTTAACTGCACTCTAGAGACTCTAAAACATTATTTTAGCTGACAGCACGAACTACTTAGAGCAGTAATTATAACAAAATTGTAAAAAAAAAAAAAACAATATGCAAACATTTTGCATTTAATATAAAAAAAAATCATCTTTTTAATGAAAAGTCTTCTTTGATTTTCCAATTATTAATCGATTCATCAAACAATTTGCAAAATAATCGTTAGTTGCAGCCCT